TGAGTGAGAAAGAGAGAGAGAGAGAGGTGAACTGACCTGGCTTGACCTCCACATCGTTTGTCGGGTTCAGTTCATTTGCCCACTTTGCATGCCCCATCAGGTGGGCGAAACCGTAGCTTCTGTGCCCCTGTTGCCTATTCTGCGGCCGAAGCTGACCGATGAAGCTGCAAAACGCAACATTTACGCACTGCTTACGTAGCTCCGGCCCCCTGGACGACCGGTTTCCAGGACTGCGCATTGGCTAAGAATAGGTCTAATCCAGATACTGTTTGTTGAACCCCCTCTCGTGGACTGTGATTGGAGAGCAAGCATTTTTGTTAGAAAAGATGTATTTTATTGACTCTAAAGACCAAAAATGTCCAACTGTACAGACCACTAGCACGCAGGGAAGTGAAGAAGTGGGCCTTGAAGTCTCGGTGAAGTGGGCTGTATTGGCAATTTGAAGAAAAAGTGGGTTTCGCGGAATTGTTTAATGAATTATTCTGGCATCACTCTCCATTTCGAGGGCAGAATTGGTTGGAGGGCGTTACCGACATTAAATAAAATGCAAATCATGCAGAATTTTCCCATTTATCTAGTCAATACAGAAGACAGACGATAGAGACGATACCAATGCTATCGACCAAAGAGACGAAAGAGACGATTTTGAAGAAGCAGATGGTACAGGTAAATACTGATGCTAATGATGATTAAGCCGATATAGATACTATCGAAAACATAAACGATGAGGACAAAAAGTCAATAGTAAACATGGCAACGGAAGAGAGATGTATTATTGCTATTACGTTTAAGGTAATGAAGGATTGGCAGTTGAGTTTGCCCACAATCATGTGAGTAGAGCTGACGCTTCCATTGCATTTCACACAGCTTTGCTTTCCCAAAAGGTGTTCTCGTCCAGGCTGGGATGGATTGCAGTTCCGACTTCGCTCAGGTCTTATCAACAGCGTCACCGGGAGTCGAACCATGAATTTCAAGGAAGACAAGGCATTTGGCCATTGTTATGAATTTAAAAAGTGAATGGATGAGCAAATAATGGAACAAGAAGAGTTGCTAGTTTTGATGTAGCATCGATGGCTTGGCTTTAGATCTAGACCCAGAGATTAGGTTAGGAAATAAGATAAGCGATGGACGAACTTAATAATGAACATAAGTGGGCTGACCACGTTTTGTATGCGAAGAAAAGTTGGGTTTCGAGGAATCTCTTGTTTCATAATTTTTGAGCTTGCTTCCATTTCGAGTGAAAGTTTTGCGTGAAGAGATTCAAAGGCCGTAGTTTTCTTGACTCGTTAGCTTCAATTTTGTTGTGACGATGCTACCTCGCTCTGATGATGTCCGTCATATGACGCACGAAAGATTAGCACTTTTTCACCGGAATCGAAGGAGATTGCCTCCGAAACAGCGTCAACATGAATGCTTCAGTAAAGCCAATCGCCACTGGTCGTCTTCGGGTGGAACGGACCTTCGAATCTCTTCACGCAACACTTCCACTCGAAATGGAAGTTACGGATAGTCCTGAAAGCTACTCACATCTAAATTAAGTAATATCTTTATTCCTAAAATCGTCTTAGCCATCTAAGCTAACTAAATTACTATTCGAGCATTGTTAATAGTCCTGAAAGTATAGCTTTTCAGACACATGGCGCAATTGTAAGTCCGACTTTTCAGGAGTCGCTTATAATTCCGAAACTGTCATTTAGAAATGGGTATGATTTCTGTGCTGTCTGCCAGCATGGCCAAGAGCGTTTGGATGACTTCTTTGGCTTACAGAATGGGTACGAAGAAATGATGGCAAAAACAGACGTTCCTTTTTGCTGCCCTAATTACTTTGAGCCATCACTTCGGGTTTCGTGCAT